CTTTCATATCTTGATTACTTTCTATACTACTGAAGTTCTGTAATACTGTACAACTGTATCTGATTCTGCTACTCTTGAGAAGACCTTATAGTCTTGCCCTGATTCTGCTATACCTGCATGAAAACTCTTTATCATCAGAGCAAGACTGCCAGCTCAACCAGAGCACCATTGAACTATTAATCACTACTTCAATCTGTTATTACTTACTGTGATACTCTTTGACCCCCAATAATTCAAGAGTGTCACACAAATACATAACAAGAGATCTGTAGTGCTTTAAAGTAAGACTTATACTTTAGTATAGAATTCTTGTTGAAACTAGACAAAGCTATATTCATTTGAAAGGTACTTCTCTACCTGAAAAGCCTTCTACTTTTCAAGTGAATTGCCTTACTAGTTGTTGAAATATAAGTGGAAATAAATAATGCCAGCTTCACACCTGTCAGAAACACCTCTCACACTATTACTCAGCAACCACATGATCTTTTCATCTGAATTTTGAGGGATAATCTTAATAGCACCTCTTATACAAACTACCAAACTTTCTTTATCATATTTCCACTATTTGTTGTGTTATTACATCTCTTCTATCTGAAAAATCCCTTACCAGACACTCTGTTATTTTGATTTTTGTTGCCAAGACTCTTGCTTACTCACATTTTGTTAAGGTGTGCCAAGTAAGCTAGAGCTCTTATCTTATCTTATCTACTTTTATCTTATCTCTCTACCTCTTCTCATCTGATTTTTACTTCTTAAGACTTGTGTTAAGAGAGTCTGATGTAGGTTTTGTAGATTATCCCAGAATTGAAGTACAAAAAAGTTAAGTAGATTCAATGCCCACAACTGATAGAAGAAAGTTGTATATAGATTGTATAGATCTGCTAACTAGAAGACTGAATGCTGAAGTTTACATAATCTATACAGATTGTGTGATTCTTATATATTTAGAGTTATGAGCCATGTGATATTTTCTGAACATCTGATATTATGTGATGCTTGCTAGTCTAGACCTATATTTGTAACACTATCTCTCTCTTTAGAGATTTCAGACTCTGAGATATAGAGTTACTAAAGTAGTTTTTTGTATGTTGTTGTAGCTTTTTGTTTATTGACAAAGTATTATAGATTCTTAAATATGTAAACTTCTGCATTTCTACTGCTTGTTTATATAGATATCTCACATATATATTACTGTCAGTTGCAGTAGATATTTTTTGTTGTAGAGCATCAATTATTTTATTATGAAAGTTCAGCATTTTATCACATTATTATTTCTTTGTTTGTTTGCTTGTCTGATTGCTATATTATCTGTTGTCTATTGTTATATTGTTTATTAACAAGTTGTAGAACTAGTAACTTTAGTGTATTATAGTACAGATATAAATAAAGATTTTTTTATTCTTCTTCTTCTTCTTCTTCTTCTTCTTCTTCTTCTTCTTCTTCTTCTTCTTCTTCTTCTTTAATCATGTCTTATTTACTGCTTTTATGATATCTGTGACTTAAATTTCTGTTTCAAGCAAGAACAAAAATATCTTTCTGTATTTGATGTGTGTTTATTTCATATTCATTAATTATCTTGACAAGAAGAAACTATGCATATGAAATATGAAGAGAAATTCTTGTAAGTATTATTTAGAATGTGCCACTTATAAATACTGTAATATAAGAGAATTTCCACTTGTTTTCTTTGCTATTCTAATATAAATATAGATTCATGAGTCTGCAATTAATCTTGTTTGGAAGTTGTTGTATCTTTATAGAAAATATTTAAATCTTGCTGCTACAGACTCTTCTTAAGCAACTCTCACAAGAGAAATGTGTAACTTAATTATAATTTGAACTCTGACACTGCAAAGTATCAGAAGAGTTCAGTTAAGAAGACATACACTTTATATTGTTATATCTTATTCTAAGTTAATGGTTCTTCTACAAAATATTATGATTATTTGACACTATTACCAGATAATATTCTTAATATTTTTTTCAATGTTATCTGTAATGGTAATAGTTGAGAGTCTTTATACTTTCTTACTTTTATTCATACTAGAATATTGCAGATTCAAGTTAAGATGGGAAATATATAAGTATTTATTAATCAGCTTGCTGTGTGTTTGACTAGTGGAACAAAAAAGCTCTGTAGTACAGTTGAAACTGGTTTTATATATTTGCTTTATTATTTTTGCTTATTTTAAACTAATTTCTGTGTAGACTAATATTACATCTTCTATTGATAGTTTAACTAATATTATTATCTCTAGTTTCTGAAGTATTGTAGAAGTACTTTATTCTTCTTAATATTCTTTAACTGCTTTATCTTTATGGCTGCATTATTTATTATAATGCTGTCTGTAATCATGCTATCTATTTCTGTGACTTCTGAATCTCATTCATTTTTGGCTAGCTCATCTTTATTACAGCTATGCTTTGAGTGCTCTTATAGTATCTCTTCTTATTATTAATTGCTTGATTTTGTAATATATGGTGGTCTTTAAAATCTTGTTTTCTACCATATTTACTCTTCTTTTGTATATAGATTTGTTTATCTTTTGGTAGTTTTACCTTTTTCATAGGTAATCCTTAAGAATCTCTTGTTTATTTTCCAGATTTTTCTCAGATTCTCATATTGATTTCTTAATAGAGAATTCTTTCTATTTTACTAAATAATGCTTTTTGCAATAGCACATCTTGTTATCTAAGATTTTATCTACTTTCCACTTATGATGATTATCTATTAGTATTACAGAAGAATATATTGATGCCTTACTCCTTCTTATATAATATAGTTTTAACAATAAGACATGAAAAATATTATGAATCTGATAGTTTGATAGAAGCTTCAGTTAATATGCATTATTTCTTATAATCTCTGTTACTAAGAAAGATCTATAGTACTGGTTGTCTAGCTTTTTACAACAGTATATTATTTATAGATTTCTTGATAATAATATTACTTTGTCACCAGATATATATATCTTATCTTGATATTTTTAGTTATAGAACTGTACTTGATCTTCTTTTGCTTTTATCAAATATTTTACCAGACTATCTCTTAATACAAAAATTATTCTCAGTCTTTTATTAAGTATTATCTATATGTTATTAGTTAACTTCTGAATCTTATCTGGTTTTCTAGATTTAAAGCTGTACATTGCTCTAAACAGAAATATATATATTATGAAGTATTTTGATCTGTTGTATGCAAACTCTGCATATACAAGCTACTTCTCTTAATTATCTTGTTTATAAGCACAATAAATATAGAGATATTTTTTTAAAATCTTATTCAGTGTCTCTGTTTAACTGTCTGTTTATGAGTAAAAAGTTATGCTAAGTTTTTATTTAACTTTTATGTAAAAATATAGCTTTGATCAATATTTACTTATAAAAACAGATCTTTAATCTGAGATAATATTATCTGAAAATCTGAAGTTCTTAAATATGTTTTTTTTAGTAAGAGATTTGTCATCTTTAGTGCATTAATCTTTTTTCTATATACAAGAAAATGTGCAAGTTTTGTAAATCAATTTATAATAACTAGAACTATATTGTATAAATTTTTCTTTTTCTCACTCAGAGAAAAATCTGTTATAAAGTTCATGAATATTAAATATTAGAGATTACTGGATGTCAGTAACAGTACAAGCAGCTTATATAGTTTGTGTGTTAGAGTCTTCTCTTGTTAGCAGATTTACCATTTATGTATATATATCTGAATATCTTGTTTTATTAAATGCTATTTATATTTTTGCTGAAGCAAGACAAATATCTTTATTATACTAAAGTAATCTACAAATAAGTTATTATGATAAACTTATAGTAGTTTCTGTCTTAGAGCTAAATTACTAAAGATATAGATTCTGCTGCTCTTTATTAAAAGATTTTATTTATTTTCTACTCTGGCTGCTGAGATTCTGTCTTAATGAATCTTGCTTATATAGAGAGATTGCTTTTCTGCGTTTTTAGCAACAAATTTAACATACAGTTAATTTATTATAGATTTTTTTGTCTTTTATTACTGTATTTATGCACACACAGAAAATTCAAGATCTTCTGCAATTTCTACATTAAGTCTTTCCAGCATCTCTTGCTGGTGCTCTCTGAACTGACTTAACTATCTTAATGTCACCAGATCTTCTCTGTACTATCTCTACTTCACTGCTTTAAACAGTATAAGCAGCATGTACTTGAATACCTTCTTCATTAAAGAAAGTTTCTTCAAATAGATTTCACTTTAAAATACTATCTGTATAATGTTGTTTGAGTATATATATAGGCAGACTGATATTCTCTTCTAGTTTAATATAATTCAGTCTTTATAATAATGTGTTAGCTGAGTTATACCTTTCAGAGTGATAGAGAATCTTAAAGTTATATACTTTAAGAATCTTAATTCATCTTACATATTATTATTATATCATCTTGTTTGTGAGCTTTATAAATGAATAAAGATTTGCATAATCTGTAATAATTTTTACAGAATACTTTGTTTTTTCTAAGTACTGTTATTAATAAATAAATACTTGAACAATAGCTAATATTCTCTTATAGACTGGTATTCAGAACTGGGACAGAATCTCATTTCCCATTGAAGCTGATCTCAGTCCTGAATTTAGAAACAGCCAGAATTCCAAATATGAAATCTCAGTTCCATGTCTCATTCTACTCAAGAGCTTGAGATTCTCTTCCCATCACTATTCTATAAATTATTTCCTGGTTCTATCCTCAAATAGAAAATTATATCCCATGTTCTATTCTAGCAGAGAAAATAGACTTCCATTTCCCATTCCAGCTGAGTCTATAGTGAAACCAGAATAGAACCAGGTTTTCCAGTCTTATTGTATCAAGAGTCAAACTGGTCAAATTTTGTGTAGATTAGTACCAAATTTTATTACTTTTTTGATAAAGGCAGAACTTTTAAAAAAATCAATTTGATTGTAAAAGAAAAAAACAGAGTATTAAAACTAAGTAATGGCTAAAGCCAGTAAATAATCAGAAACTGTCTAAATAACAAGTTTATCATTCTTATTATTATTATTATTCTTGTCATTATTATTATTATTATTATTATTATTATTATTATTATTATTATTATTATTATTATTATTATTATTATCATCATTTTCTTTCTCTTTCTTTTTTTTCTTCTTCTTCTTCTGCTTTTTCTTCTTCTTCTGCTTCTCCAGAACTAGCTTTGTGAACCAGACAGGGGCTCTAATACCTGCCATGTGACAGACAGAGACTCTGTTGGCACCAGAGGGAGACAGAGAGATAGTAGTGGGCAGAGCAGAAACAGAGGCAGCACACAGATAACAGATGGTGATGGCAGAATGGAAGATAGTGACAGCTGGAGCAAAATGATCAGGCACATCAATTAGATTAAAATAGTTTAATCTGATCATGGTACTGATGCCAAGAACAAGCTTCAGATTATCAGCATTAACTATAACATGCTTACAGTACACTATTGCCATAACAGAGCTTATATTACTTAGTATAATTATTGGTGCTATTGTTAATGATAACTTACACTTAAAGAAAGTGCACAAGATTACTTTAGCAGTCTTCTGAAGTAACTTAATAGCAGTACATTGCCAGTAATATTTATGTTCTTGATAACAGAACAAAGTAATTTTCCAAATCAATCACTAAAACAGGGCTGCCAGAAGAATTAGCTTGATAGAGCTGTAGAAGTAGCAGATTTTCTTGATAATATTTATTTTATCAATTAGTATCAAGATCATTATCAAAAATTATTACTTTTTGATATATAAGTGCTAGACTTCTAATTATAAGTAGAGAGATAGAAGTAGAGATTCTTTTAATTAAAGTTGGCCAGATTAACATCTTTATTAGCTTTACATTAATTATTCTTCTTCAGAGCTTATTCTTTCAATACAGTCTTGTGCTACTTCTCTCCAGCTGTGCAAAATAAATGCACATGAGAAAAACTAATATCTTGTCAGTAAATAATATGTGCCAGAGCAGAATTCTACAAGCACTTATCTCTTAACTTAATCTATTATTACAGTACAGTTTGTGGTACAGAGAGATATCAAAAAGTAGTAAATAAATCAGCACAGAGAGAGAAAATTATTAACATTAATTCTGAAGAAAAAGAAGAAAAAGAGAAAGAAAAAGAGAAGAGAAGAGAGACTGATCTTATATTATTATTCTGCAGCTAGTATAGCAACAATATATTAAGCTTGCCTATAGCAACATGTCTGTAGAATGTAAACAATATGTATAGTAATTATTCTACACAAGTACTTGATCAATACACTTCATATTCTTATTATGCTGTAGCTAGCATAGCAACAACATATTAAGCTTGTCTATAGCAACATGTCTGTAGAATATAAACAATGTATATAGTAACTATTCTATACAAGTAGTTAGTTAATACACTTTATAATCTCATTACATAGTATCTTCAATTCAACTTCTCATATACAATCATAAAGATGAGGCCAAAACAATATTTAATAAGAGAAAAGACTCATGCAGTACAGAAGCACTGCCAGATCTTGAAAGATTATTAAAAAAATATATTTAAGACAGAAGAAACAGATTACAAGATACATTATAATATATTAAAGAGAATCTGAGCTAAACATAAGTAATATACATTCTTAGTGATTTGTATTAAATTATATTGATATTTATTACAGGCAGAATAGCAGCAAAAAGAATCACAATATGATTAAGAATAAAGTTATTAAACAGTTAATAATCAAGTAATTTGTCAAGAACAAGTCAAAGAAGTACTATAAGCACCACCTTATAATTTCTCAGTAAAAAAAAAGAGAGAAGAAGAAGAAGTATTATCAAGAAAAGACTACAGAAATTAAGAATAAAGCTCAGCAGAACAAGAAGATAGAATTCAAAAGTAATAAAATTTGGTAATAATTCTGACATATTTAGATCAAAACAAGTCAGATGCAGTATTCTATTACTGCATATAAGCAGATTCAGTTTCATCAAATAATAGTCAAGCTTGAGATCAAGATCATAACTCATGATTATAATTATCTTGCTGCAGTCAGTATATCAAGAGAGAGAGTTGAGAAGGAGATAAGAGAATTTCTAAACTAATTACAGAGTTTAATGAAAGATAACAATAGTCTATCTGTCTTAGAGAAGATGAAGAAAGATGATTTCAAGATTGTGGTATTCTCTAATAAGAATAATAAGAACAACAAGATGAATGATAATTAAATTATTAATATTTAGAAAAGAAAGTTAGATTTTTAATTCTTTTTTATATTAATTTGAGAATGAGGTGTTATTAAATTAGTAAAATGTTTTATTTTTCTGAAGAAGAATGTTTTATTTTGTAGATAATAATAATTTTGTAGTTAATTACTATGCAGAGTAGAATAGGTCTAACTAGCTGAAGTTTGTTAAATTTTGCTTGAACTATTATCAAATTTTGTTACTTTTTTGATTAAGACAGAACTCAGGGAAAAATCAATTTAATTATGAAAAAAAAAAACCTAATTAAATAGTTAAAGCCAGTAAATAAGCAAAATTTACAGAGATTTCTTCAGAATTAATCATAGTTTAATATGGAAAAAAAACAATTTGTATTGTGAAAGAAGCAGTATTATAAGTTGTTTATTACTTAATAGTTAACTACTGAAGCTGCTTAGTTGATTTAAGAATAAGAAGCATGATGATCTTAACTGAAAGGAAAAGCAACACTATTCTGATTTTTAGCCAAAATTCAATCAGATAGCAGAGTATTCTAAAAGTACTTCAGAAGTAATTTGCAAGCATTATTAAATCTTTCTCAGCTATTCAAGCTTTTCTGACAACAGTACAAGTGGTCCGAAGATGCATTTAATTAGCAAAGATTGTATAAAAACTGATGACAGACAGAGTAATACTCTGGTTAACATAATAATAGGTCATGAATTCTAATTTTCCAAATGTAACAAATTTTAGTAACAGGCTTGATATTTTAGCAACAGTTTTTAAAGCATTCTCAAACAGATTTAGATCTGCCTGTTCTCAAATATAATCAAGATAGTTTTCTCCAGCAGCTTGTACAAACATTAATATTCTTGAATCTCTTATTTTATACTATCAAGAATTCAGCATTCTGCACATTAATAATCATGCTCAACTCTATAATAGTATTACAGATATCCACACAAGAAACATTATATCAGATTATAAATAATATGTATAATTAGCTATTTCAAAATCTTCTCTTTAACTATAATCTAATAATCAAGATATCTCTAGCAGTAAATAATTAAACAAGTTTCAATAATCTTATCTTTATGGCAATTAATAATTATTACATTATAAAGAATTGGAAGTACTATAAGTATTTACTGAATTTTGAAAGTTTAGAGAGTACTTATACTGGTAAGAATATAATAGAGATTCTTTAATAATTATTAGCAGTATAAAGACTTGAGAGTAATCTTCTTGTAATTACAAGTGACAATATATTAAATAATAATATTATGCAAGCACATCTTATATATTAGTTAAGACTAGCATTGCAGTAGTTGAACAACTTAATTAAGATGCAGATAGTAAGATAATACTCTGTCTTGCTTATGTAATTTAACTTGTGGTTTGAGAGCTGGTTTGCAATCTCAAGATTTAGCCAGATAATAATACTCTACTTACTATCTTTAATAAAAGCTTAATTACTGATGATCTAGCATCAACAAATACATTTGCAAATACTCTTAAAAAGATAATAAAATTTGGTAATAGTCTTGATATACTTGAGTTAATTTACTAATCTTTACTTAATAATAAATTTATCTTATTGCTAATACAACTAATATTTCTCTCTAACTTACTGCACATTTTCAAGAATATCAATAAGAAAATCAGTACAAGATGATTCAAGATGTTTGCACAAGATAAAATTTCATCTATAAAATATATATTTGTATCTTGTTGCTTTAACAAGCTGTGAACTCATGAATCTAGAACTTATCACTAAAATATTAAAAGCTTTGCTTATTAAATCATGACTGGAAGCAGATAAAGTATATAATTAAACTGTTGCAGTTATTCAGTCAATTTATCAAGATACTGTCCAAAATAACAGGCCCAATAATTCATCTAGTATAGATAATCTACAATCATCTTTTCCAGGATTTAGAAAGAGAAAAGAAGAAGATCTAACAGTTAATAATAAGAAAGAATATTAAAGAAGCTATTAAAGCTGTTAACTTGAAATTTCAGAAATACTATAGTGATACTGAGTATTCAAAAAATAAGCTGCTAGCTGTAGCTGCTGCTCTCCATTCATTACATCATATAAGAGTATATGATTCAGAGAATTAGATTAGTAACAAGCATAAAACATATCAACAATATATTTTAAGGTTTTGCAAAAAGTATTATAAGAAATATAAATAGTCAAGAGAAGTTATACTTGATGTAAATAATATATATTTTATTATAAGTATTATTCTGATTTTCTCTCTGCTAACTTCTCTAGAATATTAAGTAAATGATTTTTGAGAGACTTTATTAAAGACAAGTAAATTTTCAACATAAAATAAAGTAATATTTAAATAATAAGAATTTGACATCATCTCAAGCTCTAATTCTCAGTAAAGAATGCTAAAGCCTGATTTTTTAACTATTGCTCAGATAACAAGAGATATTCTGACTGTATCTTTAACAGAAGTTGAGGTAGAACAGATTTTCAATATTACTCAGAATACATATCATTATCAATAATTACAGCTTCATGCATCTACAATCAAGAAGATTATGCTACTTAAACATAAAGACAAGATATATATGCTGAATAAAGTACTCATATTACTTAAAAGGTTGGCCAAGAAAGTCATTCAAGATAATCAAGATAATTAAGATATTTCAGAGATTATACAGAAAGAGATTGCAAGCCTGCTAAATCCACTACTTAATCTAAACAAGAAACAGAAAATGTGTCAACATTATTAATAGATAAACTCAAGTAGCTAAAGTCTAATAGCTTGTAATATGATTCAATTATATAAAGAGCATTACTAAATTTTGTTACTTTTCCAAAGTTAAATAAATTGATAAAATTATACTAGAATCATTATCAAATTTCATTATTTTTTGACAACACAAATAGAACTAGAATTTCCAGTTCTATTCTACACTTTACCAGTCCTGTCTCATATACAATATTGAAATTCTGGTTCTATTCTATTTTGTCATGGCCAGATCCCAGGCTCATTCTATTAGCTAGATTTTGATCCCAGTTCCAATCTCATTCTGATCTCAGCTCTCATGAAACTGTTCCAATACACTGTTAAACAACCCAGTTCCATTTTATTGAGCTGAGCTTTAACCTAATCCTGTTCTTGGGACAGAAATTAGGACAGAAATCTGGGACCAGAACAGGAAATTCCAGAACTGGATACTACTCTATTCTCTTATCTGATGTACTATAGACTTGTTAAGTCTGATCAAACTTAAATAATTAGTAAATAACTAAATATTATTTATCTTTAAATAATTATAGTAATATTGTATCTGCAGTATATTCTGAAGCATCTCTCTTCAGATATATTCTATATTCTGAATTATAATATTAAACAACAGACTCTTTAGAGAAAGCTGTCTATAACTTGTAAAATACTTCTTTAATAACAGATATCAGAAGAAATAATTTTCTCTTTTATTTATTTTTACTGCTCTTCAAGAGATCTGTTAATAATGTTACAATAACTTAGTACTTTCATATAAATCTTTTATAGAAGTTTGCAAAACCTAGAAATATCTGAATATTATAGAAATTTTATAGCAAGAGTTACTTTATAATTATCTGTATCTGCTTTGAATCTATCTTAATATCTTTAGTATTAATAATATATCTGAGATATAAGATTGTTTATCTTTTAAAAGTATACTTGACAAGCTTTATAAATAACTGATATTCTCTTAGATACTCTATAACTAATTTAATATGTTTCTGATGCTCTCTCTCTGAGACTGAGAAGATAAGAATATTATCTAGATAAACTATACAGAATATGTCAATCAGGCCTGCCAGTACTCTATTAATATAGAACTGGAAGATTGCTGGTATGTTTGATAATCTAAAAGATATAACAAGATACTTAAAACTCTTAAACTTTGTATAAAATATAATTTTCTATTTGTTCTCTTTTCTGATTCTAATCTGATAATAGATATTATGTAAATTTACTTTAGAAAAGTAGTATGCTTCTGCTAGCTGACTTAACATCTTGTCTATTAATAGCAGAGAGTAATGATTCTTTACTGTAACTACATTAAGATTATAATAATTAATATAGAGTCTAAGTTCTTTATTAATCTTGAGTGTAAATAATACTGAAGTCTCTGCTGAAGTTTATAATAAATATATTTAATTCTTATATAGTTTGTTCTTAATATACTCTTATAGAATCTCTGTCTGTTTAAGTAATAGTTTATAAATTAGTATGTATGAGAGCTTGCAGCTGTCTTTAAGAATAATCAGATAACTAATCTTTATTAATCTTAGTAACTCTGCTATTTTTTCTTCTGAGAAAATATTTTTATAATTTCTTAACTACTTAGATACTTCTGTCAGATCTTGATTGTTGTCTGATACAAAAATAATATAAGAGAGTTTGTTCTTGATATACATTACTTAAAGAAATTTACTTGCATTTAGAAGTTTTATTATTTTCTCTGAAAATTAATAATATTATATTTTGTTCTTTTAGTTAATGTTCAGATTGAAGTTTTTCAATCACAGTATATCTAGAACTATATTTACATCAACTATATTAATTACTATAAATATTTATCTTACTATCTTTATAATCTTTATAAAGTCTGTTATTGTGAGTTAGATCTATAAATATTATACTAGTCAGCCTCAGCTCTATTCAATATCTTAATAACTTCTATAGATATCTCTGATTGATTTCAGTTCAATTAGAATATTAGTTTGTAGAAAATACTGTTTACTGTGATATCTAAGTTTAATAGTGTAGCTTGTTCTGTAAAACTATCTAATAATATAGTTAGTATAATTAACAGACATATACTACATCTGCTTACCTTCTCTATTAAATTAATACTCTGTCTTTCTAATATTTAATCTGAGTCTTGCATGAGCTTTATAGCTCTGATTTTTGCCTGATTTTTGTTCTTTTTATCTGTCTGCTGGAACTTGTTAAAGCTATTTATACAAAACTTTACACTTTGTAGATTGTTCTAGGTTTGAGGTA